TTGATAGTTCCATATCTTTTTCCTGTGAATTGTTTGAATAGTTTGTTTTGGTAGGACTTTTAGCAGTCCAAGTACAGCAGACTCTCCTACACCAAATGCAGGTTCCTTTATAGTTGGTTTTCTTACATTTTTTATGGTTGTCGCATTTTCTTCTTTATCCCCTGAAGTACTAGCTGCATTTTCTCTCGTCGGTTTTTTTCCTTGGTATGGTTCAAATTGCATCAAATACCCAAAAGGTATCTAGTAACTGTATCATGTCGGCTTTCCTTTTAAAAATCGTTTTTCGCCGTGCTTACCCAAGTATGGAACCATACTTTCATCAACAATCAGGCTTTCTTGGAGTTCTGAGCATTTCAAAAATTTTTAATTAAGCATTGTATCAATTTCGTAGTTTTGCAAATTTGTCGCCCGGAGGAAGGTTATTATTATCTGCACAGTGGAGATATCTTTCTATCATTTCGAATCTATTTCTTCTCATAATATTCACTAATGCCATGTTGTAAGAATCGGTTCCTAGCTCCTACCACATTCTACATTTAGGAACAACACAATAGACAGATAATAGTAGTATGGGCAAAAAACACTTTATTTCTTCATTGGAAACTTGAAAATTAAGTTCACACTTTTGGTGTGCATATAACGTCGTTAAACAAAAAGCTCAAAGCATTCCACCGGTTCAGAAGGAATGGGTGCTAATAGCATCGGTTTCTCAAAGTTTGGAAACCCAGAAATAACATCGGATTTTTGCCAGTTTCTTTTTTTCGGTAACCTCTTTTGTGTTTCTGACAAAGGTTCGTTGTCACTATTTGACTCTTCGTAAGTGTCGCTATAACCAATTGTGAAAGTCCGTCCTTGATTTGTAATGTTGCAGAAGTCTTCATTGCCGTTACCTTCGGCACTTTCAGCAAAATCATCTGCAGGAATGATAAAAACATCAGCGGCCTAAAAATCCTCGTCTTCTATTACTTGAATGAGTTCAGTTGCGAGGGGTCTGAAATTATTAAAAACAATACTTTATCCCAAAAATTCCAATATTGGAATTTTTGGGATAAAGTATTTTTTTTGTACTTATCGTATTTATCATTATAGGTAATATATGGAAATGTGTTGAGAATTGTTAGGGCAATAAACACAACGCAAAATAATAGATAATATTAGTTTAAAAATAGAAACTGTCACTTACCTTTTACTAGCCATTATTTACGAAAGAAATTTCCAACTTTTTCTACACGTTAAAGACATGTTTACTGGAAACGTGTTACAGCCTGCAAAATCACGTTGTGACTAACAACAAAGCGTTTAGGGGAGAAAAACGGGGGTGTTCCATTATGGAAACTGTGGGCATAAACTGGTTAATAATTGTGCTTTCTTTCCAACTGTCTGGTATAATTTTCGTATTTCACACTTCCTCGAGGTTTGGTTGATTTTCTGCTTCATCTCTTCTCTTCTGTGCCAAGCTCCACGTGTCATCTGTTATCCATTTCTTCTTGAGTTTTTTCCTCATCTCCATGTATGCTTCTACTTGTATCCATTATAGTGGTTTTAAGTGATTCCCTCTTTGTTTCTGTTTCGGCTGTTGTTTGTATTTTGTTCCTTAAAGATTCTTTAAAATTTCGTTTGTATGAAATGATTGCGAAATTCTTCCATGTCCACTTATACGCTTTTTCCCTGATGTATTTGCTTCTGTTTGCAACAACTCTGCATGTTTGATTATTGTAGATTTGACGAATAGAATTTGAAAACGTTGTATCTGAAGAACGAATTAAGATATTTTGATGAAACAAAGAACATTTTAAAGCTAATTTTATGAGTATTCAATGTGCCATAAATACTTTCTTATTTCCCACAAATATGGTTGTTGTGATATTTTAAACCTAACTCCACATGTTTGATTAGTGTAGATTTGACGAATAGAATTTAAAACGTTGTATCTCAAGAACGAATTGAGATATTAAGATGAAACAAAGAACATTTTAAAGCTAATTTTATGAGTATTCAATTTGCCATAAATACTTTCTTATTTCCCACAAATATGGTTGTTGTGATATTTTAAACCCAACTCCGCATGTTTGATTACTGTAGATTTGAAGAATAGAATTTAAACAGTTATATCTCAATAACGAATTGAGATATTAAGATGAAACAAAGAGCATTTTAAAACTAATTTTATGAGTATTCAATGTGCCCTAAATAGTTTTTTATTTCCTACAAACACGGTTGTTGTGATATTTTAAACCCAACTCTACATGTTTCATTATTGTAGATTTGACGAATAGAATTTAAAACGTTATATCTCAAGAACGAATTAAGATATTTTGATGAAACAAAGAACATTTTAAAGCTAATTCTATGAGTACTCAATGTGCCATAAATACTTTCTTATTTCTCACAAATATGGTTGTTGTGATGTTTTAAACCCAACTCCGCATGTTTGATTACTGTAGATTTGAAGAACAGAATTTAAACAGTTGTATCTCAATAATGAGTTGAGATATTTTGATGAAACAAAGAACATTTTAAAGCTAATTTTTTGAGGATTCAATGTGCCGTAAATACTTTCTTATTTCCCACAAACACGGTTGTTGTGATATTTTAAACCCAACTCTGCATCTTTGATTATTGTAGATTTGACGAATAGAATTTAAAACGTTATATCTCAAGAACGAATTAAGATATTTTGATGAAACAAAGAACATTTTAAAGCTAATTTTATGAGTACTCAATGTGCCATAAAACACAGTTGTACAGGGAATGATGGTCGCTCGCTACATCTCTTTTATTTTGTACATGTACTAATGAGCTTCACCACTTAATAATAATAATAATAATAAATTGTTTTATTGTTCTCATAACATACAAAAAAATCATTGTAATAAATCATTGAAAATAATAGAAGAAAAAACAGAAATAAACAGAAAAGTAAATTCAATAATTACCAATAATAAAAATAAAACATTCATACATGAGAACAATCTTATGACATTGTTCAACTCATGTTGTTCTTCCACCATACCATAGAGAATTTAAACATTAATAGAATGCGCATTAACTGTAACATACAACAAAAAAAAACATTATGCAAGTGCAAAGCCATTTTTACAAACGTGAAGGTCACTGCCATCCATGCAAATAATTTAGCACGTGTCTTTTAAAAGTTATTGATGATGCACACACTGTCCACTCAAGAGGAAGTTCATTCATTGTCTTAGCGATCTGATAGGAAAATGACTTTTTGAAAAAAGCTGTATGAAAAATAGGTGGAGATAATCTCCCTTTAAATCTAATATTCACAGTGTGTACATCCCCGCGAAAACTTATTTTGTTATAAAGGTAAGGTGGCTTATAAAGATGGAGGACCCGGTGGTAGAGGTATACAGAGTGCAGCACCCTTCTTCCCTGCATGTTTAACCATTTTAATTCCGGCAACTTATCACTTACATGTTCACTTCGGTGAAGACCAAACAGTAAACGTATACAGGAATTTTGTGTTTTTTGAATTTTTTCTTTTAAGACATAGGACAAAAAAGGAGAGTACAGAACATCTGCATAGTTAAAAAGTGACAGGACCAGACTCTCACAGAGACATTTCCTTGTTTTACGTTTCAAATAATGGCTGTTCGAGTAGATAACCTTCATGTGATCATTAAAAGTCAAATTCTCATCAAATAAGACACACAAATTTCTTACTGCTTTATAGAATTGTAACGGTTCATTGTTCACAAATAGATGGAGGGTGTCTGCAACTTGCTGTCTGAGGCTCTTTCGGCCGAAAATAATGGCAAGAGGCTTACTCTGATTTATATGAAGCCCATGGCGGTCGGAAATATCACATAAAGCTTGCAAATCACTATTTATATCTATACCCGCTTTAACCACCTCAGACGGGAGGAAGGAATAGTACAACTGAGTGTCGTCTGCGTAAAAGTGCGCCTTACAATGTGAAATAGATTTGATAAAATTTGATGTGTATAATGTATACAAAATAGGCGAAATAGTCGATCCCTGCGGTACCCTCGATCTCACTTCCAGAAAATCAGAGAAATCAACCCCCACTGATAGTGCCTGTTCTCTACCTGTTAGAAAATTATTTAATAACTTTTTTGCATTATATTCGAAACCAATATAACCCAGTATTGCTATAAGTGTTTCATGATCAACTGTGTCAAATGCCTTGGAATAATTCAGCAGAGTACCATCATCTTACCCTTATCATACTCCTGCAGGATATCATCGATAATGTGAATTAGTGCTGTAGTACAACTAAATTCCCTTCTAAAACCGGACTGGTTTACGGGTAGAATATGGGTAGTATCTTCTTATATGTTATATGATCTATTTGGTTTTGTGTTCTGCCATCTGGTGACGGCCAAGTTTTTTGTGTATGGCTTTGTGTGAGAAGAGTGTTCCTCCAATTGCTAAGTCGTTATTCATGCAGAAGGCTGCAAATAATTCACCGTCTATGTTTCTATTTCCTAGGCCATGTTTTTCTTTGCTTTCTCCTGATAGGTTGGACGCGCATTGTATTAAGCTCAGATTTGGGTATTTTCTGTTAGATACTGGGGACCATTCTATCATATCTTGCCTAATCACTCATAAATCAACCTACTCCGTTGGCTCGGTTTTCGCCTTCTTTGTTTTCCGAGTAGATTAAAGTTTTACCGTTATCTGTTCTCCTTGTCCATGCCATCTGGTTTCATTTAATCCCAGCATAATTGTTTATAGGCCTCCATTTAAGCCCGCCGTGTCGTTTCTAGAAGGGTTCTAATGTTCTACGTTCCTATTTTTGCTTTTGATAAGGTCGATCAGCATATTTAGGACCAGCGGATGATTAGGCCATCCGTTTCTGGTGATGAGGGGGGTTTAGCATTTCCTCTACACAGATGTTATAGTGTTGGCAATTTTAATAATGAATAAATCACTACCTTGTCTAAAATAAGGGTTAAAAAATTATATAATGACCTTTGAATTTAAAACATTCATTTTAACATAATTTTTTTTCAGATCAACATCTTTGTTCTCCGAAAATTTAATAAACGACCTAAACATAATTACCCATGAAAACGTCACCCAACTAAATACAATAATAAACAGAATGGGAATGGAACGAGAAACTCAAGAAGAATGGATCTCGGCTATAAAAGAACAATTAAAGGACTTTTATGCTTGCGTCACTGAAGATGCAGTACTTCTCGAAGAAAAACTCACATCAAAAATCGAAAAATTACTAATTGAATCAGAAAGATTATGCAAGCTGTTACAAACAAAAATGCCTCAATACGGATCAAAAAACTTATCATTTTATGAGGAACATAAACTCCTCAAGAAACACGTTGAAGAGTAAGCATTTAATTTTTTTAATTCATTTATTTCATTTAAACATTGTAGGCTTCAAAATATCGTTTCGGCCAGAACGCGTGAATTAGAATTATTAAAATCGCGAGAATTATCTTTGTGCAAAAACTTGGGTGTTGAGGTTAAACCAATTAAAGACTCCCCTTTACCGAATGAATCCGAACTTGAAGACATCAACGATTACATTAAATCTTTAGAGCTTGAAATATTTAAACGCGAAGAGCGTTATATGCACATAAAGTGTAAAATTATGGACTTAGGAGCTCATCTTGAAATTAAACCTTCCTTGGATCTTGAGCGCATCGTTTTATCTGATGATACTCACTTTCAAGTTAGTGATGAAAACATGAAATGGGTTCAAAATTATTACGTTTCGTTGCAACAACAATATGACGATATGAAAGATGATATTGAAAGTTTGCGGGAAAAGGTTGGATCTTTGTGGACGATGTTATCTGAAGATATTCAATTGTGCAATGAGTTTATTGAAAAACATAGTGGGTGCACATACTCAGTTTTGAAAGCTTGGAAAGCGGAGTTTAAAAGATGTGATGAATTAAAGAAAGCTAATATACAGGTATTTAATTAATTTATTTTGATTTTTTTTGGAATAAAATAATCTTTTTTTAGAAATTCATTGAAAGATTACGTAATCAGCTGTGCGATCTTTGGGAGAAATGTCACATGACTAATTCAGAGCGGGAAGAATTCGTTTATTATCGCTGTATGATATATACCGAAGATTTACTTTCCTTCCACGACATTGAAATACAAAAATTGGAGAAATATTACAACGATAATCGGTAAGGATTATCAGATTTGAAATATTTCGCGTTTTAAGTCCGCTATGTTGGTAATGAACATTGTTGGGATACTACCGTTTATAGATGATGTTTGGATGGGTCACTATAAACATTTTTCATACACAACATTTATTCCTAATATTTCTAATTCCGAAGTTATTATAAAATTTATTATCCAAAAACGTCAATTTTGAGATTTTATGATTCATAAGTAAAAATTCGAAATAGTTGGAATAAAATTGTTTGTGGATTATCTTTTAGTGATTTATTATGAACAATTTTTATTAATATCATTCTCATCTACAGTTTTTAATTTTTAAGATAAAAGTGTTGATGTTTAATGCGTCAAATTTGAAATCTTTCGCGTTTTAAGTCCGCTGTGTTGGTAATGAACATAGTTGGAATACAACAGTTTATAGATGATGTTTTGGCGGTTCACTATAAACATTTTTTATACACAACATTTATTCCTAACATTTCTAATTTTGAATTTATTATAAAATTTATTATCCAAAAACGTCAATTTAGAGATTTTATGGTTTATAAGTAAAAATTCGAAATAGTTGGAATAAAATTTTTTATGGATTATCTTTTAGTGATTTATTATGAACAATTTTTATTAATATTCTCATCTACAGTTTTTAATTTTTAAGATAAAAGTGTTGATGTTGTTTAATGTGTCAAATTTGAAATTGTCTCGTTTTAAGTCCGCTATGTTGGTTATGAACATAGTTGGGATACACCAGCTTATAGATGATGTTTTGATGATTCAATAATAAACATTTTTTACGCACAACATTTATTCCTAACATTTCTAACTTTAAAGTTATTATAATATTTATTATCTAAAAACGTCAATTTAGAGATTTTATGGTTTATAAGTAAAAATTCGAAATAGTTGGAATAAAATTGTTTATGGATTATCTTTTAATGATTTATTATAAACAATTTTTATTAATATCATTCTCATCTGCAGTTTTTAGTTTTTAAGATAAAAGCGTTGACGTTGTTTAATGCGTCAAATTTAAAGTGTTCCGCGTTTTAAGTCTGCTATGTTGGTAATTAACATAGTTGGAATACAACAGTTTATAGATGATGTTTTGATGGTTCATTATAAACATTTTTTATACACAACATTTATTCCTAATATTTCTAATTTTGAAGTTATTATAAAATTTATTATCCAAAAACGTCAATTTTGAGATTTTATAGTTTATAAGTAAGAATTCGAAATAGTTGGAATAAAATTGTTTATGGATTATCTTTTAGTGATTTATTATGAACAATTTTTATTAATATCATTCTCATCTACAGTTTTTAATTTTTAAGATGAAAGCGTTGATGTTGTTTAATGCGTAAAATTTGAAGTATTTCGCGTTTTAAGTCCGCTATGTTGGTAATGAACATAGTTGCGATACAACCGTTTATAAATGAGGTTTTGATGGTTCATTATAAACTCTTTTTATACACAACATTTACTCCATACTCCTAATATTTCTAATTTTGAAGTTATTACAAAATTTATTATCCAAACACGTCAATTCAAAGAATTGGAGATTTTATGATTTATAAGTAAAAAATTCGAAATAGTTGGAATAAAATTGTTTATGGATTATCTTTTAGTAATTTATTATGAACAATTTTTATCAATATCATTCTCATGTACAGTTTTTAATTTTTAAGATAAAAGCGTTGACGTTGTTTAATGCGTCAAATTTGAAGTGTTTCGCGTTTTAAGTCTGCTATGTTGGTAATTAACATAGTTGGAATACAACCGTTTATAGATGATGTTTTGATGGTTCATTATAAACATTTTTTACAAACAACATTCATTCCTAACATTTCTAATTTCAAAGTTATTATAAAATTTATTATCTAAAAACGTTTTCAATTTAGAGATTTTGAGGTTTTATGGTTTATAAGTAAGAATACGAAATAGTTGAAATAAAATTGTTTATGGATTATCTTATAGTGATTTATAATGAACACTTTTTATTAATATCATTCTCATCTACAGTTTTTAATTTTTAAGATAAAAGTATTGATGTTGTTGAATGCGTCAAATTTGAAATCTTTCGCGTTTTAAGTCCGCTGTGTTGGTAATGAACATAGTTGGTGTACACCAGTTTATAGATGATGTTTTGATGATTCATTATAAACATTTTTTATACACAACATGTATTCCTAAAATTTCTAACTTTGAAGTTATTATAAAATTTATTATCCAAAAACGTCAATTTTGAGATTTTATGGTTTTTAAGTAAAAATTCGAAATAGTTGGAATAAAATTGTTTATGGATTATCTTATAGTGATTTATAATGAACACTTTTTATTAATATCATTCTCATCTACAGTTTTTAATTTTTAAGATTAAAGCGGTGACGTTGTTTAATGCGTCAAATTTGAAGTGTTTTGCGTTTTAAGTCTGCTATGTTGGTAATTAAGATAGTTGGATACAACAGTTTATAGATGATGTTTTGATGGTTCACTATAAACATTTTTCATACACAACATTTATTCCTAATATTTCTAATTCTGAAGTTATTATAAAATTTATTATCCAAAAACGTCAATTTTGAGATTTTATGGTTATAAGTAAAAATTCGAAATAGTTGGAGTAAAATTGTTTATGGATTATTTTTTAATGATTTATTATGAACAATTTTTATTAATATCATTCTCATCTACAGTTTTTAATTTTTGAGATGAAAGCGTTGATGTTGTTTAATGCTTCAAATTTGAAGTGTTTCGCGTTTTAAGTCCACTATGTTGGTAATGAACATAATTGGAATACAACAGTTTATAGATGATGTTTTGACCGTTCATTATAAACATTTTTTATACACAACATTTATTCCTAACATTTCTAACTTTGAAATTATTATAAAATTTATTATCCAAAAACGTCAATTTAGAGAATTGGAGATTTTATGGTTTATAAGTAAAAATTCGAAATAGTTGGAATAAAATTGTTTATGGATTATCTTTTAGTGATATATTATGAACAATTTTTATTAATATCATTCTCATCTGCAGTTTTTAGTTTTTAAGATAAAAGCGTTGACGTTGTTTAATGCGTCAAATTTGAAGTGTTTCGCGTTTTAAGTCTGCTATGTTGGTAATTAACATAGTTGGAATACAACAGTTTATAGATGATGTTTTGATGGTTCATTATAAACATTTTTTACACACAACATTCATTCCTAACATTTCTAATTTCAAAGTTATTATAAAATTTATTATCTAAAAACGTTTATTTAGAGATTTTGAGATTTTATGGTTTATAAGTAAGAATTCGAAATAGTTGGAATAAAATTGTTTATGGATTATCTTTTAGTGATTTATTATGAACAATTTTTATTAATATCATTCTCATCTACAGTGTTTAATTTGTAAGATAAAAGTGTTGATGTTGCTTAATGCATCAAATTTGAAATCTTTCTCGTTTTAAGTCCGCTATGTTGGTAATGAACATAGTTGGAATACAACAGTTTATAGATGATGTTTTGATGGTTCATTATACACATTTTTTATATACAACATTTATTCCTAACACTTCTAATTTTGAAGTAATTACAAAATTTATTATCCAAAAACCTCAATTAATTATGGATTCTCTTTTAATGATTTATTATCAACAATTTTTATTAATATCATTCTCATCTACAGTTTTTAATTTTTAAGATAAAAGCGTTGACGTTGTTTAATGCGTCAAATTTGAAGTGTTTCGCGTTTTAAGTCCGCTATGTTGGTAATGAACATAGTTGACATACAACCGTTTATAGATGATGTTTTGATAGTTCATTATAAACATTTTTTATACACAACATTTATTTCTAATTTCGAAATTATTATAAAATTTATTATCCAAAAATGTCAATTTAAAGATTTTGAGATTATGGTTTATAAGTAAAAATTCGAAATAGTTGGAATAAAATTGTTTATGGATTATCATTTAGTGATATATTATGAACAATTTTTATTAATATAATTCTCATCTACAGTTTTTAATTTTTAAGATAAAAGTGTTGATGTTGCTTAATGCATCAAATTTGAAATCTTTCTCGTTTTAAGTCCGCTATGTTGGTAATGAACATAGTTGGAATACAACCGTTTATAGATGATGTTTTGATGGTTCACTACAAACATTTTTCATACACTACATTCATTCCTAATATTTCAAATTTTGAAGTTATTATAAAATTTATTATCCAAAAACGTCAATTTAGAGATTTTATGGTTTATAAGTAAAAATTCGAAATAGTTGGAATAAAATTGTTTATGGATTATCTTTTAGTGATTTGTTATGAACAATTTTTATTAATATCATTCTCATCTACAGTTTTTAATTTTTAAGATAAAAGTGTTGATATTGCTTAATGGGTCATATTTGAAATCTTCCGCGTTTTAAGTCCGCTATGTTGGTAATGAACATAGTTGGGATACAACCGTTTATAGATGATGTTTTGATGGTTCATTATAAACATTTTTTATGCACAACATTTATTCCTAACATTTCTAACTTTGAAGTTGTTATAAAATTTATTATCTAAAAACGTCACTTTAGAGATTTTGAGATTTTATGGTTTATATGCAAAAATTCGAAATAGTTGGAATAACATTGTTTATGGATTATCTTTTAGTGATTTATTACGAACAATTTTTATTAATATCATTTTCATCTATAGTTTTTAATTTTTAAGATAAAAGTATTGATGTTGTTTAATGCGTCAAATTTGAAATCTTTCGCGTTTTAAGTCCGCTATGTTGGTAATGAACATAGTTGGGATACAACCGTTTATAGATGATGTTTTGATGCTTCATTATAAACATTTTTTATACACAACATTTATTCCTAACATTTCTAATTTTGAAGTTATTATAAAATTTATTATGCAAAAACGTCAATTTAGAGATTTTGAGATTTTATGGTTTATAACTAAAAATTCGAAATAGTTGGAATAAAATTGTTTATGGATTATCTTTTAGTGATTTATTATGAACAATTTTTATTAATATCATTCTCATCTACAGTTTTTAATTTTTAAGATAAAAGTGTTGATGTTTAATGCGTCAAATTTGAAATCTTTCGCGTTTTAAGTCCGCTGTGTTGGTAATGAACATAGTTGGAATACAACAGTTTATAGATGATCTTTTGATGGTTCATTATAAACATTTTTTATACACAACATTTATTCCTAATATTTCTAATTTCGAAGTTATTATAAAATTTATTATCCAAAAACGTCAATTTAGAGATTTTATTGTTTATAAGTAAAAATTCGAAATAGTTGGAATGAAATTGTTTATGGATTATCTATTAGTGATTTATTATGAACAATTTTTATTAATATCATTCTCATATACAGTTTTTAATTTTTAAGCTAAAACTGTTGATGTTGTTTAATGCGTCAAATTTGAAACTTTTCGCGTTTAAAGTCCGCTATGTTAGTAATGAACATACTTGGAATACAACAGTTTATAGATGATGTTTTGACGGTTCATTATAAACATTTTTTAATGCACAACATTTATTCCTAACATTTCTAACTTTGAAGTTATTATAAAATTTATTATCCAAAAACGTCAATTTAGAGATTTTGAGACTTTATGGTTTATAAGTAAAAATTCGAAATAGTTGGAATAAAATTGTTTATGGATTATCTTTTAGTGATTTATTATGAACAATTTTTATTAATATCATTCTCATCTACAGTTTTTAATTTTTAAGATAAAAGTGTTGATGTCGTTTAATGCGTCAAATTTGAAATCTTTCGCGTTTTAAGTCCGCTACGTTGGTAATGAACATAGTTGGAATACAACAGTTTTTAGATGATATTTTGATGGTTCATTATAAACATTTTTTATACACAACATTTACTCCTAATATATCTAATTTTGAAGTTATTATAAAATTTATTATCTAAAAACGTTTATTTAGAGATTTTATGGTTTATAAGTAAAAATTCGAAATAGTTGGAATAAAACTGTTTATGGATTATCTTTTAGTGATTAATTATGAACAATTTTTATTAATATCATTCTCATGTACACTTTTTAATTTTTAAGATAAAAGCGTTGGGGATTTCGCCCAACTAATTTCTTTTTTAATTCTTTCATTTTTAGCGAAACATTTTCATTGTTAGAACGTTGGCAAGAATCTTGGAACAAAATCGTGCAATTAGAAGAAAAGGCATCAGCCCCCGGTCGCTTCAAAAACCGCGGGGGAACTTTATTGCAAGAAGAGAAAGAACGCAATGCCCTCCAAAAAAGAATTCCAAAATTCGAAGAGCGCCTAATTGAATTAGCCAATAACTATAAAATGCGAACAGGGCACAACTTCTTATCATGGGGCGAAAAAATAGAAGATTTAATTTCAAAAGCCCACAACGATTACAAAATTGAAAAGGACATCAAACTTAGCGCTAGGAAACAACAAAAAGGACTTACACCTGGGGGATCAACGCTTTGCTTAACATCCGCTGTAAGCGGGAGCAGATTACGTTTGGATATGATTACTCCGAAATCAGCGAGTAAACGCCCTCCACGAACGGCACTTTTTTCTGGTAGTAACAAAAAGCCGAAAGGTAGGTTTGATAAATTTATTTAAAATGTATACTAATTTTTAGAGAATTAAATTTGCAGTAACTCCTAATAAATTGGCCGTGCCGTTAATTCAAATTAACGAACAAGTTGTAAAGCGTCGTTCTAGAACATCTATGGAACGACAAAAATGTTTGCGTAAGATTAGAAACATTGCGACGGGGATTAAAAAAAGGGAGGAGATGAAATTAAATACCACTTTTGTGGATTACGATATATTCACTGTAAGAAATACTAATTTAAACTTTTCTGGTCAATTTTTCATATTTATTTTTAGGGGGAATTACAAGGAGATCATCGAAGTACTTGTGTATTTGAAAATACATCCAAACCAACCCAAGCCCCTTCAAATTAATAATCAGATTATTTTTAGTTTGTCAGCAATATTTTTTACATTTCATTATTAGTAGGTCCTTTAATTTGTTTATTTTAACTTTTAAGATTAGATTTAATAATTTTATTTGTATTGTGAGAATATATGGATTATTAGCGTTTATTTGTTATCAGAAGTGAAATATTTAGAGTTTAACATAGCTTAATATTTAAAATTAACCATATCATAAAAGCTTATTAATACACTAATCAAAATACACAGATTAATAACTTTAAAGTTAACTAAACGCATTCATGGAGATCAATTGTAACTTTAAAGTTGCAAATTTGTGTACTAATTTTTATAATATAAACAGTATAAGAATATTATAAAGTAACTAAACATATATTTCGTCGTCCTCATTTATTTTATCCTATCTCAAGTAATCCATACATATTTATCTATCAACTGTTTCTAGTGAAGAAGAAAACAATATTTATTTGGACTGTATAAAAATTATAACAATAAGAAATACATATATAAAATAAATATAAAAAGAGTCCAAAAGGGCTATAGACCTGAGTCTTCATAATTGCTTTAAGGGCTAAGGATTGTAGACGGGAGTTTATAGGAGGAATCTTTGTAAGGTCGTAAAGGAGTTCGTTGGACGGGTTGAAAAATGGGTTGTGAGGGTGTCTGATGCGGGTGATAATTCTCAGGGCTGCTCTCTCTGCTACTTCCAGATGGTACTGTGATTCTCTCGGCGCTTCAGTCATGATTAATGAGGCATATTCGATAATAGGTCGGCATATTGAGGTGTATATGTGAGTAGCGCATTTGGTGGATATCCCTCGGCCTCTATATGAGAGTGAGCGGAAGTGTTTGGCGCGGTTTTTGACTTTCATTTTTACCTTGATGGCGTGGGTAGAGAATTTAAGGGTTCTATCCAAGGTAATGCCGAGGTAGTTACAAGTTGGTGATGCTGTGATAGGAGAAGATTGAATTATTATTGTGGGAGGAGCAACGCGAATAGGGAGGAAGGGGATGAAGAATTGGGTTTTGGAAG